AGTGTTTGATAACCATGCCAGCCAGCTTGGAAATGTGATTTCAGGACTTTAGACTTTCAGACTCTTCCAAGATTTCATCATCATGAGGACAGTCACCACTTGCGATGAGTATCAAGCACTTTTCCATGCGATTTGTCGTCCCTACAGGGAGGCAGTATGGCGTACGGCGCGAGACCGTGCCGGAGCTCAGGAGGATTCATTCTCAACCTCACTGACCTGCTGGGTCACTCTGAAGTTACTTCTCTCTATGCCTTAGCGTACCCATTTGCAAGAGGAGGCTAATGTGGCTCAGACCATCTTTTTATAAAGTGCTTGGGCCATTCCAGAAAGCATTTGGGCATTATTTCAGGAGGATGTTGGTGCCTAAACACAGAAAATTTGAACTTTGAGACCTACTCATGACTTGTACGCTATGTGCTAGGATAAAAATAGCCATACACGCAATTCTCAAGCACACTCTCCTTTGCCATGTGCTAAGCAATTCTTGCCTAAACTTCTTGTGCTAAAATTCTTGCCTACGCCCAACAACTGTGGTGCTTTGTGAATAGCGAACCCTTAACTTTAAGTGCCTGTTCACTTCTGAGGTTTTATGCCACAGTATTGGCAGAAGCAATTGCACGTGGGGTAGGGAACTGTCGTAACATTGTACTTCTGCAAACAACAAATATCTGCATCTGTTTCCCACGACAGGGCATGTGCCGAGCTGGCTTCAGTGGCAAGACAATAAATGCCACCATTCACCACAAAAGGCATCACCTGCTTGTGCTCCTGATGCTGATGTTCCACACCAGTGGAACCCCACGGATGCAATATCCTGCTCCCTGGTTCATGGTAGTGCAAGAAGAGAACATACCCAAAACTTTGGCTCATCTCCTGCTCTGCTTGTGCTGTGATTGGCTCCTTAAAGCTGTTTTGCTCCATCCGTGTTCCTTATTACAAGCCTAAACGAAGTCAGATTTGCATGTAATGTTTGGTTTAGTTCTTTGCCGTTCACAGACTGCCATTGCCCTCACTGGTTGCTGGTGCAACCGCCAAAAACAAACACGACACGTGAGCCTCAGAGGAGGTTTTTGCAGCTTGTCAAGTCTTGCTGTAGTGCAAACACACCTGTGAGGAGCACGACTCCATGGAGTGGAAGCACCCACTTGCCCCAGCGATGGGGAAGTACTTCAGCAGCTGAACATGGAGCAAGGAGGGAGGCAAGACAAAGGGAACCGAAAGAAATGTTTCCAAGACAAAAACCCCCAAACCCCACTAAACACTGTTTGATATTACTAGTCACATTCCCCTATGCCATTTGGTCAAACAAAACCTTAAAACAGATTCCCTGACTATCTCTAAGAACAAGCCTAGACCGTTGACAACTGTCACCTATATACTCTGCCGGTATTTATATTATGTAAACAAGGTTGTGTGGAATTTTTTTTTTTTAAACTGTTTTTTCCCAAAGATAAGTGCAGATCCTCACTTAACACACCCAGCCTAAATCTACATCAGCATCCTCAGCTTTTGAAAAACCTCACTGACGCTCATACCTGACAGTACTCTGGCTCATCTTGGCCATACTGGAAACAGAAGGCTATAGAAACAAAAAAATCAGCAGAAAAATTCCTGACCACAGACTAGAGTTCACATAGAACACAAAAATAAATTAAGTAGTGCACAGTAAAGCCAACAACAGCTAAATATTTTTATACATCAATTATATGCAGCATGAGGTAATATTGCTCACATTATGGAGGGAGATTCTTAGTTGGTTTTGATTCTTTTGAGAGAGATTGGATTTGTCCTGTGCGTATAGAAACTCCTGTAACATAACACTGAAGTAACAGAGACTTCTGTAAAATATATACCACTATCAGATAGAAACACACACGCTCTTCATTACTTTATATATACCACAATTAAATAGGTAAGTGATTTGATTCTTAGGATCTAGCTGAAGATGATTATAGTAAGCCATCTAGATTTTTATGAACCGTTCGGTTCTCCTTTCCATTGTTGGAATCCTCTGATGGCGTGTATTGGACCTGATATTCTTGAAGAATTTTAAAAACATCATGGTGTCCAAAATGTAAAGCTTCATCCATAGGAGTGTTATTCCACCTACAGGGAGGAGCACAGTATTTCTAAGATCAGCAAGTGTGTACAGAGCCAAAGGCACCAGAAATCTAGTTCTTTACATTCTGTGGTAATAATTAAGCACATAGACTGCACGGAGTTCAGTAACTGTGAAAATACTTCATAAGCTGAGCATAACCTTTTAAATAATGGTTCATCATGGTTTTATTCCTGTTTGCTCTGCAGAACCTACAGCAAACCAGTAGGATCCCACTCCTTCTGCTTCAGTGCACTGGCTCAACACGCTCCACCCTTGATGAGATGCCTCTCCTCCTGGGGGGCCGGAGAGGGGCTGTTAGAGCATCTCTCCTCCTCCAAACTGGCAATAAAACCACTCACCTGTCTTTGGGGAAAGGATTCACTTTGCATGCTTCCAGAAGAAATTTAACAACGTCCACATGTCCTGTAAGAAAAGCAGGATTGCAAGGGTGTGTATTTATATATATATATATATGTATATTACATAGATACACACAGAATTTTTAAAAGCAGGTATGCATGTAGAGAGAGTGAAGATGCTGTTAAGAAAACTGACCACGCTCCATTACAGATAGCAGATCCCCTATGAGGGGACATTACCTTCTGCAGCTGCGACATGCAGGGCTGTTCGTGAGTCATAGTCTCTTTGTTCCATATCCATTCCTGACAGAGCAAATCTAACAAAAACCAAAACAAACCTCCACATAATTACAGAGAAGTCTTACATAATTAAAACAAGTTAAAAAACTAGCATGGACCAATACCCCTATGTTAAAACGATGAAACATCTTCTGCAAGAGGATATAAATGGTATCAAGAGCACATCGTACCTTCAGCTGTAATGAAAGGGGCCCTTACTGCTTTGGCTCTAAAAATAAGGTAGGGGCTTAATTTTCTTTCTGATCACTGGTTGTTACACAGAAAAATAAAAATGTCCTTGCAGGGTTTGTAACAACCAACATATCTGATTTAAAATCTATCAGGGACAAGCTAAGTCATATAAATCAAAGTAAATTTATACCAGGAAGGACTCCCAAGTCTGAAAATCCTGAACAGCATTACGGGATTGGGAGAGAGCTTTCATTACGCTATGGTGCTCTGGGACAGCAGAGCTAAACTATACACATTCTTCCAGCCACTAACTATATTCAGGTATATTCTAGCCATATCACTAAGTCTATTTCATCTCTTGCTATTACTACTTGAAACACTGCCAGATTCTACTCCAGATTGAGAAAGCAAAGGTAGATTTCCTAACCTCTCCAACAACACTGTGCATTTTCCAGCCTCATTTTTTGTGGCAGTTTCAGAATTGAATTATAAAGCAGGCTGGAGTACAGCTAGGATTTTCTGCCATCACTACAACATGACTGGTTAAGGAAATTTATTTCAGTACGATCCAAAGAAAGGGAAAACAATGGGATTTCAAGATAGCGTGAGGGTACCTTTTTGATGGTTAAGTTTGGGGTTTTTTGTTTGGTTGGTTGGGTTTGGGGTGAGCATATTCAATCTGCAGTGCAGCTCGGATGTCCCCAACATGGACACCTTGCATATTCATAAGTAAACAACAGCAGCAGGCACCAAACAAGCAGCTTTCCTACTCCCAACCCCGCACCCATTTTTACCTCCGGAGTGCAGACACATCCCCCGTGTAGGCAGCAAACAGCAGATTTATCACAGACTTCACCTACAAGGAGAGACGAAGGCCAGTTATTTAGGTTCTTCCATCAAAAAGAAAACAAATGGAAAACACGGAAAAGCCCAGCATGGCCAGTCGGTCCAGTGCTTGCAAACCTGTTAATTTTATCCCCTTCCCTAGTCACATTTTGCAGTGTAGTGTAGAACACTGGCAGAATTCATTCCAGCTTGCTTTGCTACCAGTAGCTGTCTGTCTGTCTTTCCAAGGTTGAAGTCATAAGGACAGTTAAAGAACCATAAAATGTGCATTTCTATTCTACTATGGTAGGAAAAAAATGAGCCTTGCTGTATGGACAAACCATATTTCTCTCTTTGATCACCCAGTGATACAGAGTATTGAACTGCAAAGGCTGCAAAAAAATCACTTTGCACGATTTAAAAACCACGAACACCTCGTGAGACAAACTTCCTTTGTTGTTTTAAAAACAGAGGACACTCCTAATACTTAGAGAAATCTGTGTTAGCAGAAGAAAAGAAATGGTACCAGTTTTGGTTTCTATCACAGATTTTCCTTGCATACATTTAATATAGAGGCTTTCTTCAAATAAACAACATTAAGGAATTCTATCGCGTAATGAACGACTACAAGAAAAGCAAGGTTTCAAGGCAGACAAAAGTAGGATCTTTTTAGATCAAATATCACAGGTAAAGTCTCAGGCAGGTAGTGCTTTTCTCAGCTGTATTAGTGAATAAGGAACCATACCGTTAGGCTACCAACTTTGTCCCATGCCTGTTTTTCACACATCCTGGCTATAACAACTCTAGAAGCTTTAACAAGCACCCAAACTGACAAGATAAGATGGCTTTAAGCATCCCACCTCAGCTTCTTTCATAA